CGGACGGCACGGGCGCGGCGGCCCCGGGGCCATGGTGCTGCCACAGGCCTGGCTGCAGCCCAGGTAGGGCGCCCGGCCAGGCGGGGCTAGGGTTGGAGGCGGCGGGAAGGGACCCAGGAGCGGGGACTGTCCCCAATCGCGGCCCCGAGCACGCCCCTGGGCGCTTGACAGTTGTCAGCATATTCAACCCTCTTGAGAACGCTTATTCCCCCCTGTCCCCCCCCGCCCCCCATTTTACGGATGAGGAAGCGGGAGGGAGGAGTGGCTGCATGGCCACCTCTTCCCCCTTGGACGCCTTCTACCAGTCCCCGCCCCACCCCCGTCGCCCAACTTTCTGGGGCTCCAGTGTTCCAGAGTGTCTTTTAGATTGACCTGTGGAAACACCTGTCCCACCTGTAGACTCAGGTCCGCCGGGCTCAGCGGGCCAAGAGCTTCGAATTCGAATGCACCTCGCGCTCTGATAGGCACCGAGGGCATCGAGTTCAGCTCCCCAGCGCACCCCACCCCCACCCCGACACCCGCCACCTGCCACCCCTTCGCGGCTCCTGGGCTCAGCTTGCAGACATTTCACAGCTCCTATGTAGAAAGCAAGGTGGCTGCACGGGCTACACAGGCAGGGCTGTCCCCGCCCCCCTGCTCAAGGGTCTAAGGCCTCCAGGAACTCCAGACATTCCCTTCCTTAACTCCCCCAACCGTGTATCCGCCCATCTTCTTAGTCATCTCCCCAGCTGCCCACAACACGGTGTTAAACCCAGCTCCACTTCCCCTAAATGGTCTTTGCAACCAGCCGCCCGCCTCCCCCCCTCCGTGCGCCTCGGAAACTTTCCATCCGCCTTCACAACGAGGCAGGAGGTGGGGACAAGATAACTGCCCCCAACCACATCCCGCATCCCAAAGTCAGGGGTACCCATGGACTCAATTGTCCACATGTGGGATTACCATCAGCACAACCATCTCCAATGTTACTACTAGGAGCCTTCCTGGGACTCCTCACTGTAAGGTCGGTGGTTCAAACCCACACTGCTCTGGGAGAAAGTCAAGTTCCTGTGAAGATTTGCAGCTTCAGAAACCCCAGGAAGACTCACCATGAGTCCGGATCGACTTTATGGCAGCGGATGTGCTTGTTAACAAATAGGTCCTGCCCTTAATAGGCAGAGCTTCTAGAACATTTTAGGGGGCTTCAAAAAAATTCCGGAGAAAGTCTTTTTATTCCAATCACCCCACCCCACAGCTCTTGAAGATCCCTCACGTTCTGACCACATGGACCCCTCTTCTTCTGTGGTCATCGCTCCCCCCTTGAATATCCAAAGCCATTTATCTTCATTGTAACTCTTAGGGGAAGAGCAAGGTTGGTTGTGAAACAGAACCATATTTGGTTTTAAGCAAACATAAGACATTCGCATTAGCAGATAGCGTATACTTAGGATTCCTTTAAGAGCTGCAGGGTTTGGAGGTAACCAAGTAATGAAAAACTAAACCTATTGCCCTCGTGCAAATTCAGACTCCTAGCAATCTGATAGGACAGAGGAGAACTGAGCAGACCGTAGAGGCTAGCAACCTCACAGACTCCATAGGGCTCCCAAGGTCGTCATTTTCATGGAAGCAGACTGCCACATCTTTCTCCCAAGGTGGGGCTGGCGACATCTGAAAGCCACCAAGGCTCCTTGACGATGGAGCAGTAGTGGCTAGGGAAAGATACAGGCAGTAGAATGTGGGAAGACGTGTCTAATGGTGTTTTCCTGTTTTTCTAGGTATAAGAAGAACACCTACCTTTTTATCTATTATTTGATCCAGTTCTGCGGCCATTCATGGATCTTTACGAATATGACAGCCAGATTCTTTTCATTTGGAAAAGGTAAACGCCCAAGACACCTTTGCAGTCCTTGTTTTCGCCTAGTCTGGTTGATGTGAATATTTTGGTTACCGTAATTTCTATGTGTCTCACCCAATATCCTTTATAATGAATATTTCCACAAACTATATTTGTCGGTTCTTAAAAACAAAACAAAAACCCTTTTTGGAGAGGGAGCAAGGAGGGCAAGGGAAAGGGACGCGGGTCACTATGAGTTGGAGTCGGGGCCCTGACCGTGGGTCTGGGTTTTGGGCTTCACTAGGCAGTTTATGTGGAAAGCACGGGCCTGGCCTTTGGGGGCATGCTCACAGCTCCTATTTGGTTCTGTAACAAACTTCAGCAGATTTTATGTGTTTGGAGGAAAACTTTCAGTATCATGCTCTGCCCAGAAACCGCAAGGAACCAAATTCTCCTCGGGCCTTTAATTCCTCGGGTTTCCAGTAACTTGGAGATTAGTAATAAGTGAGTAATAACATTCACAGTCTTCAGGCCTCTATCACTTCTCTCAAGACGTACGATGGCACTCAGAAAATGACACTCCTTGTAAATAACCACCGATGTGGGATTAGTCATGGCTGCTAGGCGTCATGGAGTCAGTTTTGACCCGTAATAACCCCTCACCAACAGAATGGAGCACCGCGCAGTCCGTGGCCAACCTCCGTCGTTCCTATGTTTGAGCCCAGTATTGGAGCAACTGTATCAGCCCTTCTTGTTGATGATCTTCCTCTTTATTCCTGATCCTTTACTTTACACAGCCTTCCCATCCTCACTTGTCAGGGACAAGCTAGCTGTACTTCTACGAAGACCTATTTGTTCTTTTTTTTTTTCTTGTCAGTCCATGACACATATTCCAATATTCCTTGCCAGCACCATCGGCCAAAGACATCAGTTCATCTCCAGTCTTTAAGTCACTGTCCAGTCTTTGCATGCAGACGAGGCAGTGGGAAAATACCCCCAGACTTCAAGCCTATGTTAGACTTCAAGGTGACATCCTGTTAATGTACTCCTACATCCTGTTAATGTACTCCTATTAGTAGGGACGTTGATCATTTAGTCATAAATTTCCTCTAGTTTCCTAAAAAGTAAAAGCCCTGGTGTTTAGAGAGTCTTTCACGTTTTAAGACATGAATCACGAAATGACTGCCACAGGAGCGCTCGCTCACGTTCTGCCCACGTGGATAGACGTCATCACACTCTCAACTGCTGGGTGACTGGCAACTTGAGCAACTGCTGTTTTCAGCTAAAAGCAATGAGGAGGATATTTCCGGGAGAAGTCCTGCTGTGCACATCAGTTAAGATGCTGGAGTCTCAAAGAAACGAATCTACTTCAGGAGCCCCCTAGTTGTTTATGCTGCATTTTCTTGCTCAAAATATCTAGATAACGTCTTGTATCCGTTAACAAGTTTCAAAGATGCCACTGAAGGCTTGAATTTCAAATAGGTGCACTTAGCCTTGGGCGTCCTTTAAGCAGTGGAAAACAGCCTGGGGAATGCAGAACGGGAAAACTCCCTTTATATTTTCAGAAAAACAGAAACCATCCCTTGGGGCCTTGGAAGTCAACTGCAATTGGGGGTGAGTTGGGGGTGGGGTGATTAGAGGTCGTTTGCCACACGTTACAAACCACAAAGTCTTTCTATGGCTGCCTCGATGCATCAGAACCCCAACTCTTTTCAACGTTTTGCAAAACCAGCGTGACCGAGGGTACTGGGGCCTTTCCAATGGGGAATGCTGCCCAGGGCAGCAGTGTCTTTCTTCATTACACTGGCATTCCCAGCTACCAATATCTCCTGTGCCCTAGTTTTCTCTCTCTGCCATCGATACTGACTCCTAGCAACCCCATAGGACAGGGTAGGACTGCCTCTGTGGGCATCCGAGATGGTGACCCTTTACGAGGGTAGAAAGTCGCATCGTTCTCCCATGGGACAGCTGGTGCTTTAGCACGGCTGACTTTGTGGCTAGGAGCCCAGCGCAGAACCTCTACACCACCAGGGTTTCTCACTATGTGCTGTCAAAGCTAGCTGCCACTGAGTTTCTATTTTTTCTTTCATTATAAGTAGATTCTATGGTTATAAGTATAATTAGATCTTACATGTATATATATATATATATATATATACTATGGTCATAGTATATCATGTACATGCATATATGCAATATACATAGTCTATATACAGGTAAGATCTAATCATATTCTAATCGTAGAGTCTACTTATAATGAAAAAACATAACCCGTGGTTGGCAGGCTGAATCAAGTAAGTGATGACTGAGAACAATTCCTGCACTGTCCACATAATAAAACTTAGACTTGAAACAGCTCCGCTGCTGTCTAATACGAAGTAACTACCCCTAGACAGTCAAGCCTCCCTTGGCATCTTTGAAACTTCTTCCCGAGTAGCTGCCTTCCTCTTGGCAGAGCTGTGCAGCTGAGACTCCCACACCGGAGCTCAGACAGGGCAGTGGGGAGGAGCGCAGGCTGCCTGTGCCTCTACCCCCTCTGCCAACTGAGATGAGCGGCAGTGTGTGGCTTCTTACAACTGTCGAGAAGAGGAATCCTTAGTTTGTGTTGCTCAACAAACTGGTGTCAGGAGACCGCTCGCCAGGCAGCAACACCTTCCCTAACCATGGTAGGGTTTCATTTCAAAACTTAAAACAGTGACTGCGCCCTTCGATGGTTTCCCTGGCCTTTCATCTCTCTCTAAGTACAGCATTTCAGTCAGGCGCCCTGCCACGTACACTCGGAACGTATCCATCCGAGGCCCACGTCCTAGTGTTTAAAATTAACAAAAGTTTAACCAGCACCCAAGAAACACTAACCAAGTCTGTGTAGGCTACAAATGCTACCTATACATAGGTATAGCACGGCTATACCTTGATGGCACAATATTATCTCGGCCATTTCCCCAAGACTTTTGAAAAATCATGGGTTTTCTCCTCTTTGCCACTTTTTGTCAATGGAAGAAGTGAGGACAACAGCCCCACAACCACTCTCTAGTAAGCTCACCTCTAACGGGGGTCTGAGTTCCAGCCGGTTGCTTTTTAACACAGGCGTTGTTTCACAATCCAGCAGTGAAGAACCAGCCCCCTGGCTGTGGCCAGGAAGCGTTCCTTCGCACAGGTCCACTTCTTTGTGGAAGAGGAGCGAGGGGGATGCGCTCCCATGTGAAGGCCCTTCTTTGGCTTGCATGGCAGTGTGAATACTGAAGTAGCTCATCTGGAGAATTTCTGACACTGTTGATGACAAAGGAAGTAGATCGTCGCCGTCGGGTCACAGGGTGCTGCATAGCTTTGGCCTCCGATCTAGCTTTCTGGTCTTTTCCTTCATGTCTCTGTCTCTCCTGGGCACAGATTCCATGGTGGACACTTTTTATGCCATTGGACTTGTGATGCGGCTTTGCCAATCCATTTCCCTCCTGGAGCTGCTGCACATTTATGTTGGCATCGAATCAAGCCATCTTCTCCCCAGGTTTCTGCAGGTAGGCTTTCATCATATTATTATGACTGATAAATAGCCTATCACTTTATCTTTGCTCTATTTCAGCCCCCCCACCCCAAATGTATGGCAATTAAAAATCAATTGTCCTAAGTCACAAGAAGAATGAATTCTGTGAAAGCATTAGCTCATTCTAAAACAACGCACAGTTAGAATAGCTGTTTGGAAGCATTCAGGGAACAAGGCTTGTTGATCTATGTAACACCGTGCTGATCCAATTGAGAAGGGATGTCTAGCCACTGCCTCCCCACACCCGCTGTGCCAATGCCCTGGGAGGTGGTAGAGAACAATGGGAAAACATAGCAATCATCAGAGTTGGGTTTGATGCCTAGTTCCTCCACCTACTAGCTGTGGGCTCACACCATCAACAGTCTTTAGGCAGTTGTGGGGAAAGACACCGGGTACACTGGCCAAGGTGAGCCAGAAAGTTTCCTTCATTTTTACCCAGAATCTAGAATCCTCCCTAGCCACTTCTTACTCACTTCACCACTTAACACTGAAAACAAATGGAAAGTGTCTAAGAATCACTCACTCTCCCTCCCTCCCTCCCTGGCATTGCGTCAGTTCTGACTCATCATGAACCTGCAGAACAGGGTAGAACTGCCCCTGTGGGTTTCTGAGAGTATGGATCTTTTGGGGAGGAGAAAGTCTCATTTTTCTCCTTAGGAGCAACGGTTGGTTTCAGGAGGCTGACCTGGCGGTTAGCAGCCCAGCGCATAACCTCCCCGCACCAGGGCTCCGTTTTAAGCATAGCCTTTGGGATTACACAAAGCTGACTTCAAATTGCAGTTTTATCAATTTAGATGTGTCACTTACTCAATTCTAAAACCTATGCTCTCACATATAAAGTGAAAACCGGGTGTCTTAAAAAAAAAGAAAACAAGAACATGACTCTGATGGAGTTACAGATGGAATATGATACTACCTCACATGGGCATTGAGAGGAAAGATTTGAAAACACACACACACAACCTCAGGAAAGAACAAGTGCTGGAGAGAGTGCAGAGAGACTAGCACTCTCATACACTGCTGTTGGGACGGTACAACCGTACAACCGCTGTGGAAAGGCGGTAGGTCTTTCCTTAAACAACTGGGACTAGAAGGATCACATGACCTAGCAATCCCTCTTCTCGGTATACATCCTAAAGAAATAAGGAACAAGGCACAGGCAGATGTGTGCACACTTATGTTCATCTCAGCACTATTCACAAGAGCAGTGAGTATTACAAGCGTAGGGAAGGTTTTTAAATTTTATTTATTAAAGTTGTTGTTGAGTCAATGTTGAGCAATAGTCTTCGTCACTTTACCGTACACACTTGGGACCTGGTGGACACCATCCCTGAAGAAGGGCACCCCGCTGGTTAAAGGGAAGGGTCACCCAGGCAGAGGAAGCTCTGCAGCAAGATGGATGGTAACTGACCGCAAGTGGACTTAGGCACAGGCGCCAACATCTAAGGATGAAGACACATTAAATGTCGAAATATAAAATTAAAATAAAGGCAGTGATTATGATTATGTTGTTGTTAGGGACCGTCGAGTTGGTTCCAGCTCATAACAACTCTGTGAAGAGCACAAACCACTTCCTGGAGACAGAGTCTGATCATCTTTCATTCTAAGGGGCAGCTGAGCGCTACTTCTTTCAAGACAGATATGCCTCTTAGTCTGGCAGTCTATGAAATATTTCACTGCAATTGAAAGGTATTCACTCTTCCTCCATCTTCCTTATTCGTTGTCCAATGCTTGCAGACAGAGGAGACGACTGGAACACCGTGCCTTGGTCCAGGCGCACCTTAGTCCACACAGGGACTATGAGGCCTTTTGCAGCTTCCTTCCTTCCATAGGTGTTGGCTGTGGAGCCAAGTAAAATAAACTTCATGACCACCTCACTCTTGTTCCCACTGATAATGATACTGCTGATTGGTCTAGTTGTGAGGGTTTTTGTTTTCTCTATGTTAAAGTGTAATCAATCCACACTGCAGACGGTACTCTCTGATCTTCATCAGCAAGTGCTTCGAGTCCTCTTCCCTTTCCGCAAGCAGGGTTGTGTCATGTGCATATTGAAGGTTGTTTATGAACCTTCCTCCAATACCGATGCCTTGTTCCACTTCGTAGTTTCTTGGATGGTTTTCTCAGCATACGGATTGAATCAGTATGATGAAAAGGTACATTGTGGACACACACCTTTCCTAGTTTAAAACCATGCTGTATCTCGTTGTCCTGTTCACATGACTGCCTTTTGATCTAGGGACAGGTTCCACATAAGCACAATTAAGTGCTCTGGAATCCCCATTGTTGGCCCTGTCCACAGAGTCAAATACCTTTCCATAGTCAATAAGATATAGGGAAACATTTTTCTGGGAGTCTCTACTTTCAGCTAAGATCCATCTAACAACAGCAATGATAGTCCTTGTTCCCCATCCCTTTCTGAACCCAGCCTGAATATCTGATGCTTTCCTGTTGATGTACCGCTACAGCTATATTTGAGAAATCTTCAGCAAAGTTTTACTTGCGTGATATTAATGATATTATTTGACAAACTCAGCTTGCCCTATAGGGATCCCTTCCCATCACTTTACCATGTAGCTTGTCTTCCAAATTTCTTGGCATGGGTGAGCAAGCGCTTCCAGGATGACATCACTTTATTGAAGCATCTTACTGGGTAGACCATCCATTCGTGGAGACTTCTTTTCCACCAGTGCCTTTGGTCCATCTTGGACTTCTTCCTTCAGTACCCACAGTTCTTGAGCACATGCTACCTTCTTATACGGTTGGATGTTGACCAATTCTATCTGGTATAGTGACTGGATTCTTTTCATCTTTTGAATGCTTCCTACATTCAATACATTGCTCATAGAAACCTTTAACGTTGCCAATTGAGGCTAAACACCCCCCCCCCTTTTTTGTTGTTCTTTTAGCTTGAGAAATACAAGTGTGTTCTTCCTTTTGGTTTTCAAACCCCAGGTCTTTAAACACTTGGCTATAACATTTTACTTTTTCTTCATGAACTGCACGTTGAAATCTTCTGTTCAGGTCTTGTACGTCATAATTTCTTTGCTTGCTCTGTGCTCAAGAGCAGGCGGCAGAATCTCTGACATCTCTCTTGGCTCTCCTGGTGTTGCTCTCTCTTTAATGACCTTTGGCTTTCTTCATGTGGCATGTTCTTGAAGTCAGTCCACCATTTGTCTTGTTCCCCGGTCATTAGTGCTCAGTGCTCCAAGTCTGTCCTTGTGACAGTCTCTACATTTAGATGAGATATACTCAAGGTCATACATTGACTCTCATGGATTTGTTGTAATTTTCTTCAGCTTCAACTTGAACTTGCATATAAACAAAGAATGGTCTGTTCTGCAGTTGGCCCCTAGCTTTGTTCTAATGGATGATATTGAACTTTTCCATTGTCTGTTTCCAGTTATGTTTTCGCTTTGATTCCTGTTTGTTTCACCCAGGGGAGTTCACATGAATAATCTTTGTCTCTGTTGTTAAAAAAAGTTTTAGCGATGCAAATGTTGTTGGTCTTGCACAATTCGATCATGCACTCTTCTGCATTGTTTCTGCCACTAACACCATCTTTTCTAACTGACTCTTCTTCTTGACTTCTTACTGCTACCATCCAAATCAACAGTGATTACCAATGCATCCTGATTGCTTGCTTGATCCATTTTTAATGGAAGAAATTGTTAAAATTTTTAATTTCTTGCCCCTTGGCAATCATGTTCAGTGTTTAAATTTGAATAACTGTCATACTATGTTTTTTCTTGTTAGGTGTATGGAGATTATCCTGTTACTGACAGCATTTTATTTCAGGATCCATATTGGAATGTTCTTTAGGATGATGAACAAGCATGATGCTATTCTTTTTCAATTTGTCATTCCGGACATAGTAGACCATATGATTGTCTGATTCAGAATGACCAATATCAGTTCAGTTCAGTTCACTCATACCTAATATATCGAGCTCTAGGAGGTCCATTTAATTTTGATGACCAATGTTATTTATACTTTGTGCATTCGACATTGTAATGCTTACTGTATGTTTGCAGATGTTTCTTCACATTCTGTGTTGTGCCACATCCGACAATGAAGGTTCCAATAGCTTTCCTCCATCCACACCATGAGTATAGACTCTACTTTGAGGAGGCAGCTCAGTCGTGTGTTGAGTGTCTTCTGACTTGAAGGACTCATCTTCCAGCTCTGTCCCAGACAGACTTCTACGGCTGTCCATCGGTTTTCACCGGCCAATATTTTCAGAAGCAGACTTCCAAGTCGTTTTTCCTAGTCTGTCTTCGTCTAGAAACTCTGCTGACACCTGGCCACCCTGGGTAACCTTTCTGGTGCCCTATCTTCTAGCACCACAGCAGCATGCAAGCCAACAAAGTATGGTAAACTGGCAAACACATGGTGGATTAACACCCAGGTTAAATGAAAGTTGTATTCCATCCTTGGAGTTAATTTTGCTTGGAGTATGCTCGAATTCAACTCAAACATAATGATGACCATGAGGCTAAATTGGCTCATAAAAGTTTCATGGCAAATCAGCATTTTCAAAATTAAAGGTAGTGTCATTTTCGTTATTGTCCATGTAAAGAAAATACCAGTGAGAAAAAGCATAGTTAGTTAACTTTTTAAAAATCGTTTTATTGGGGCTCATACAACTCATCACAATCCATACATACATCAATTGTGTAAAGCATACTTATACATTTGCTGCCCTCATCATTCTCAAAATTCACTTTCCGCTTGGGTTCCTGGAATTAGCTCCTTATTTTCCTTTTTCCCCTCCTCCCTCCCCGCTCCCCCCTCCCTCATGAACCCTTAATAATTTATAAATTATTATTATATCTTATCTTACACTGCCCGGCGTTTCCCTTCATCCACCCTTCTGTTGCCCTTTCCCCAGAGAGGAGGTTATATGTAGATCCTTGTGATCGATTTCCCCTTCCCTACTGGTATCGCCACTGTCACCGCTGGTCCTGAGAGGTTCAT